AAAGGGGCCCACTTTCATTAAAGGTCCCATCTGAAAAAGGGATCCGAAAAATTACAATAAATTATGCCTGAGATGGGTTTGGAAAAAAACACCCGATTTGTTTTTGGTTCTTGTAAGCAAGCACCAATGGGGGGAAACCGGGGGAAAGAACTTTCCGGGAAGCTCCCCCCGACCCCCCTGAGGCCGCAGAAAATCCCTGTAAATGGCCCCTTAAATTGGCGATAAAGGGGAAAAAATACCGGGGGAATCTGTAGGAAAAAGGCACCCCCAGACTGGGGGGGTTAGAAAAGTCAATGTGTGGTGGCACGGGAAGCCCTTTTCAAGCAGCAAAAGGAACGGGCGTCGTAAAGGGAATGGGGTTGTGAAAAAAATGGAGGAGAGGGAAGAGGGGAAAAACCAGGAAGGGGAATCAGTGTCCATTAAAGGTTTAGTCTCTGAATTATTCTGAAAGGGGTTTCAAGTGTTTTTTGAATTCAAAGTGTAGGGGGAGCCCTATTGGAATAGAAGGAGGAGGGTGAGAAAAGATTGGGCAGTTTTGGACTGTCCCAAAAGTGGAGGGGGAGGGAAGATTTAAAAAGGGACTGGAATAAAAGTGTGGGGGGGGGGGACAGAAGAGGCAGAAACCGGGGGAGGTGGCAGAAGAGGGAGAAACTTGGGAGGGGGCGGGGGGGAAGGCCCATATTTACAAGGAGGGGGTGAATTCCACACTTGTAATGGGAGCCGGGAGAGGGGGAAAAAATAGGTAAGAACGGGGAAAGGTAAAGTGGGAAAGGTGGAAGAAGGGAAGGGAAAAGGGGCAAAGAAGTTTTGAGCAATGTGGTTTTTTTTGAACTTCTGAAAAAATTTAGGGGGGCGTTTGGGGTATTAGGTGTGGGTCGAGGTCTTGTCGATGGGGGGTGTGAGGAAGGCCCGCAAAGATTTTGAGAACAGACTAAAAGGTTGTAGTCGGGACTTTCGAGCCAAGGACAGCAAAGGTTTTAGATGCCGGAGTGGTTTTAGGGGAGGTGTAAAAACAGAGGGGCTGCGGAAAGGGGCCCCCCAAAAGTGGGGGGATTTTTGGGAAAAACCCCGAAAAATAAAACAGGGGGGTAGTCCCCCTTTGGGGAGGTGGAGTTTGAGTAACTGCCTTTGCATAAGGGGACCTTCTGCCTCTTTATGGCAAAGTTTTCACTTTCCCCTTTAATTTAGACCTGGAAAAACGGGGGGAGTACGAAGGGTGAGTTCATTATTTTTAAAGGGCAAGATGGGGGTTTGACTGCAAGTGTATTAAAATTTGGTTTGGGGTCGGCACCACGGGACTGGGCATTGGGCCTTTAGATTTTTTGCAAAAATTTTTCGCGGGGTTTTTGACCAAAACGCAGCAATTTTTTAAAATTGTTGCGGGGGGTAGGTATCCCTTTCGAACTTGTAACCGAGGGTCCCCCCCGGACATTACAGAGGCGGAGTTCTCGGCTGTCAAAATTTAAACGGCCCTTTTGCAAGGGTAAGGTTCCCCCCCCCCGGGGGGAAAAGGAAAAAGTTTTTTACTTTGGGATTGGGAAACCCGGGGGTTTCCCAGCTGTTCAAGAATGTCATTCCCAAACATGACTGGAAAATTTTGTTGGACTAGGGAGGGGGCCCCGGGAATGCAGTACCACTACAAGAATTGAGAGAAGATTTTTTTAAAATAGTGTACCGTGTATCGATATTCGAAAAAGGGGAGAAAAAATCATGAGCTTTGGGGGGCATTTTGGACAGTGATGATGCGCATACCGCTCTTGAGAGCAGGGGAAAAGAAAAATCTTACCAACATGATGCGGAGGCTTTGCCAATACTATGGTTTGAAAGGTAGGCAGAAGAAGAAGTCGATCTTAAAATTAAAAAATTTAGTCCCTTGTGTGGGGCCGTAATGAGCGTGGAGAGGGAGGGCTTGACGTGTCAGTCTTTTCCAAGTAGAATGGGAAGGTAACCCAAGGAGTATCATCAGGGGATTGGGCGTTGGGGGGTTTTTTGGGAAATAGGACCCGGGGTTTGGGCCGGCGTGAAATGGGCGGGCGATTCGGAAAATTTCCGTTTCCCTAAGGGGGGGAGAAGCCGGAAGCATGTCAAAGGAGAGCGGAAATCAGTCAAGCCCCGGGACCCCAGCGGGTGAGGGGGGGAAAACAGCACTAGGAAGGGTACAGGGGCCCTCAGGGTGTCCGGGGAAAGGGGGGTGGGGCTAACCAAACCAAGCGGGCCCCGGGGTCAGAATGGGGGGCCCGGGATCAAAAAGGGGCCCGGGGGTAGTGGGTTCATGGGGTTTTGGGTTTTTCCCTGGTTAGGTTACTTTCCCTTTTCTTTTTGTTTTTTTAAAAAAAAAAAAAAAGAAAGAAAAAAGAAATTAAAAAAAAAAAAAAAAGAAAAAAAAAGGGGGGGGCGGGGAGGAAAAGTTCCCAGGAGGAAAATTTAAAAAGGGGCCCGGAAAATTCCTCAGCGCCCAAAAAGGACCTCAGCACCGCTTTGTAGCGAGATGCAGCAGGAACCCCTGCCCTTTCCCTCCCCCTTTTGCCAGTAAACCCGCAATCCGGGTTGCCCAAAAACCCCATCTGCCGAGCTACCTTTGGTGGAAAAAAGAGGGGACGGCCAGATATCCCCAAAAGCATACCCCTTTTGGCCCCAACCCCCCGGGAAACCGGGGAAAAGGGGGCTTCCAGAGATACACCCCTCGCCTGAAAGACACCCAAGCTACTCCGGGGTACCGGGGGGGAGGGATCGGGGCATCCCCAGGCGGGTCCAGATTTCAGGCAAACTACGCCACCGCCCCAAAAAAAACAAAAGGGGAAAGGGTGGACCCCGGGTGGGCCCTTTTCCCCCCCTGGAACTAGCACGCCTGTGGGAAAAAAAAGAAACCCAAAGGCCAAAAAAAAGGAAAGGGGAAAAAAGGGGGAGGGGGGTGGGGAGGGGGGGGAGGAAGGAAAAAAGGGGAAAAGGGGGGGATGGGTGAGGAGGGGGGGAATGGGGGGTAATTTTGGTTCGGTTCTGAGGGAAGGGGACCGACAGGTCTAATTTTCCCCAGAAACCAAGAGGGCCCCTTCCCACGCCAAGGAAACCCCCCTTTAAGGGGGATATTAATTAAAGTGCGGTTTTTATCATGTGTGGCAGAGCCCCCCAATTTTTTTGTGGGGAATTTGTATTCTAACTTTTTTGTCTTTTTTTTAACCCAGAATTTCCTTTTGGGTTTGCTGTCGCAGCAAAACCCTTTTTGTATACGGTCGTTCGTTTTTTTTCCCTTTTTACTGCTTCATGGGGTTTTTCTGTTTCAGCTAGTTTGTTTACAAACATTTATAGTCATGTTTGAATTACTATTTCCAAAAAGGGGACTACCCCTGTGTGTTAACTTTGAAATTCATTTTTTCCCTTTCTTCCCCACTGTTTCCAGCAATCCCAAATTGGGAAAAAAAATTTTTTCCCGGAAAAGTATTTCTGAGTTTCTTCCCCCATTTTTTTTTATAAGTTTTTTTTTATTTTTCTTGTTCATCCCTTTCAAAATTTTTGAATATTATGAAAAAAATTTGTGTTAGGCCTGAAGGGTCTTCAACTTTTAACAAACTAGCTCCTCGGACATGTTTCCCCGCTCGGTACCACTCAGGTTTTTCCAGTTGGTGGGGCCAGGGTTTTCCAGGCTTGGGCGTCCCATCTTTTTTATTATTCCCGGGGTTTACCTTTTAGGTGTTTCGAGGGTCAACACCCCCGGGCCCCCCCCATGAAACCCGGTCTCCCGGTGGGGGTTCAGGCCTGATCAAAACCCGGTGTTTCTGCCTTTCCTTTATTTTACCCGGTTCTTTAATTTTCCCAATCGAAGTCTTTTTTTGGAAAATTTAGTTTGGGCCCTTTTTTTCCCCGCTTTTTTTGTAAAATTTAACTGAAAAATTCAAATTAAATTTAAACGCATCATCTTTTTGTTATGGGAAAACCATTTTAGTTCCGTTTTTTAAAAAATCTTCCCGAAATTTCAAATCCTTTTCCCCAATAATTTTTTAATTTTTTTTTTACACAATATGTTGCAGTTGTATGGAAAAGGAGGGAGGGTTTTTGAAAAAAGTGAAGGTTTTCACGGGGGGATAGTATGTTTAAAAAAAGGAAAAATTAAAAATTTAATTAGGGAAAAAAGTAACTTTGTCCTTGGAAGCAAAGATGGGAATATATGAGCTTAGTTTATGGGGTTTTGAAGCAAAGGGTGGGGGAATGCTGCAAAAAAAGGAAAAAGGGGGGTGGGGGGCAGTTTGGGGATGTGGGGTTGGGGGCAATGTTTTGGTTTTTGAAAATAATGCATAGAATTCATAGTTTTTGGAAAAATTAAAAAAAAGGTTTCGGGATTCCCCAAAAAATTATCCTGAGGGAGAGGTTGGGTTGGGGGTGGTTCAGGGCATGTAGAGAGGAAGGAAAAAAAAATAGAAAAGATTCGGGAGTGTATCAATATGTAGTGGAGGGAAGGGCCCTGGAGGGGGTTTGGGGCCCAGGAAAAAGGGTTTGGGAAAGGGGGGGGGTTTAAAGGGGGGTTTTTTTTGGGATAGGGGCCTTTGGGGCTTCCCGCAACCATGGGGCCCACGGGGCCCTGTTAGGAAACAAATGGAGAAAAATGGTTTTTTTGGGGGCTTGTGTGCTGTTGGAGTTGGGGAGCAGATAACATTTTGAAGGGGGGTCCCGGGGGGGCCCGGCAGGCCGGACTTTATTTCCCGGGTTTTGGGGGGGAAATAAAGGTCTGCACTTGAAGGGGGGGGGTGTTAAGTACTAGTCGCGGTTTTGTCCTGTGATCTTAACTTTTTGTTCTGCCCTCTAAACTGGATCATTTTTATTAATGTCTTTCTTTCCTTAGTCTGCAAAACTCACTTGGTGGGCGTGGGAAGCTCACCTGTTGGCGTGGGTTACTGGTTTGGTGGGCATGGGAAGTTCACTTGTTTGGCGTGGGTTATTGGTTTGGTGGGCGTGGGAAGCTCACCTGTTGGCGTGGGTTACTGGTTCGGTGGGCATGAAAAACTTACCTCAGAGTGCGAGTCCGGAACCATCGAGGGCTTAGAGTTGAGGTTCAGGTGGTAAGGGGCGGATGGTGTGGTAGGTGACCAGATGAAACCCAGAGAGTCGTCAGGTGTAGGGGACCTGCAACACATAAATATCTTAAGCTACTTCTTAGTGTATGTTACCTGGAGGGATATATATATATTATATATATATATATATATATATATATATATATATATATATATATATATATATATATATATATATATATATATATATATATGTCGTGCCGAATAGGTAAAACTGGTCAATTAGCAAGAACTCATTTAAAATTAAGCCTTTCTAAAATTTTCTCTTATACGTTTAAAGATATATTTTTTTCATTAATGTTAATGTAAAAATTTATAATTTTTCATCAAAAGAATCTTAGAAAACTTACCTAACCTTATTATAACAAGAACAATTTATTTTAGCCTAACACAACTAAATATATTTTAGATTTGTTTACAATAACTTAATAGTAAACAAACACAGTGAAATACATTTTTTTCGTTAGGTTCAGAATGATTTTGGCGAAATTATTGTATACACAAATTTTCGCTTGTCTTGTATGGTAAGATGAGCGTTGCTATTTAAGCCAAGATCGCAAGTTCTGACTATTCGGTCTAAATATATATAATATTTTTAAATAAAATTATATAAAATATATTTTATATATATTTTATATATATATATATATTTTAAAGCGTGCCTAATAGGAAAAACTGGTAAATTTAGCAAAAAATCTTTTTAAAATTTAAAGTCCTATCAAAAATTTTTCCTTAAACGTTTAAAAAAAATTTTTTTCCCTTTAAAGTTAATGAAAAAATTTTTAAAAATTTTGCCCCAAAAAAAAATCTTAAAAACTTAAAAAACCCTTTTATTATAACAAGTTTCAAAAAAATTTTGGGCCTAACCAACAAAATATATTTTAATACTTTTTAAAAAAATTTTAATTAATAAACAAACACAATGAAATATTTTTTTATTCGTTAGGTTCATAATGTTTTTTGGGCAAAATTTATTGCAAAACAAAAATTTTTTTAAGTTTTGTTTGAAATTGGCAAGATGAGTGTTGCTTTTTAAAGGCCCAAAAATGGGCAATTTTTAAACCTATTCGGCATGAGTTTCAGAGGGGGAAAAAATAAATGGGATTAGGTCGGGGGTTTTAAAATTTAGAGTTAGAGTAAAAAAAGGAGTGGGAAATAATGTTAAAGGGAAAAGTAGGGCAAAAAGGGGGGATTTATAAATGTTTTAATTTAAAAGGGTTTTAAATGTGGAGAAAAATTTAAAGTTTGGATGTGAAAAGGGTTATTTAAGCGAAAAAGCAGCTGGAAAGGAAGAAGTGTAAGGAGAGAGAGAGATTTTGGGAAATGTTGAGGAAGGGGTGTGAGGAGTTTTTAAACCAAGGGTGGGTTTTACTTGTGGTTGGGGATTTCAATAAAAAAAGGGGGAAAAAAATTTTTGTAAAGGGGGGAGTAGAAAGGAAAATTTTGGGGGGTGCCGGGGGGTAAATGAAAATGGGGGGGGCCTTTAAATGAGCTATGTGAAAAAAAGGTTTTGGAAATTTTAAATAAAAGAAATATTTTTTTAAAAAGGGATAAAAAATTTTAAAATAAGGTATGATATACACGAAAATGAAAGTATTTTTTTTAGATTATGTTTTGGGTTGGAAAAATTTTTGTTGGTTTGGGGCTCCAGGATGTGCACGTTTAAAGAGGGGAATTGATATATCGGATCATTTTTTTATTTTATTACAGTTGAGTAAAGGAAGATGGAAAAAAGGGGAAAAAATAAACAACAACAAGGGGGAAAGGTAAAAGTTAAAAAAACAAAGGGGCAGGGGGAATTTTCGGCTGAGAAAAATAAGAAAACTTTTGGCAAAAAGGGTTGGGGGGTTTAAAAGTATGGTAGGGGGGGGGTTTGAAGAGGGGTTGGAAATAGTTTTTAGAAATGCAGCATTAGAATGGGGGCAAACTTGTGGTTATAGGAAGGGGGTGCAAGGGGGGAAAGAGGGGGGTGATTTTTGGAATGATGAAGAAAAAGGGGGGCGTTAAAAAAGGGAGAAAAAAGGTAGCTTTTTGGGGGTTTTTTTACAAAGCAGAAGTTTTAAAGAAGATTAGATTTACAAAAAAGGAGAGCAAAAGAAAGGTGAGAGGGGTAAAGGGAGGGGAAAAAAGGAAGGCAGATATAGGGGGGGAGAGGCACTGCCAAAAAATTTTTAAAATTTGGAAAAAAAGGGAAAAATTTTTTGGATTGAAAAAACGAAGTTAAGAAAGCTAGGGAACAAAAAGGGAAATTTTCCTTTAAAAACAAGTGGGGGGATTTTAAGAGATGGGGGGGATGGAGGTAAAGGGGTTTAGATGGCAAAAATATTTTGGGGGAATTTTTAAAATGTGACGAAAAAAGGGAGGGGGAAATTTCTTTCCACGGGGGAGGTGCTGAGGGAAGGTCCCCTAGGGATTGGCAGAGAGAAATGTATAGCCCTTTTTAAAAAATAAAGGAAAGGGGGACAAAAAGATTGTAAAAATTTTAAAGGAAAATTTTAACGAGCTTTCCCAAAGAAAAGTGACGGTAGGTTTATTATTGAAAAAATTAGGGGGAAAGGGACAGAATGTAGGATTGGGGAAATGAGCAAGGACGTTTTAGGTGGGTGGGGGGTTTGTGAAAGACCCAAGTTTTTAACATTGAAGCATTTTTTGGAACAGTTTTTAGAAAAAGGTAGAAAAGGGCCCTTTAAATTGCATTTGTGGATTTAGAAAAGGCATATGAAAGGGGGGGATAGGAGGGGCCAATGTTGCAGAATGTTTAACAAGTATATGGAAAATGGGTTGGTAAGTTAAAAATGTTTGTTAAGTTTTTTTTATGATGAAGGAGGTTTCAGGTTAGGATGGTAAAAGGGAGAGAGAGACTATTTCCCATTTAAAAGTAGGTCAAAGACGGGGGATTTTGAAACTGTCACCATTGTTTTTCAATATATTTATAGAGGGGGTTTGTAAAAGAAAAAATGCTAGGGTTTTAAGGGAGAGGGGTGTGATTAATTTGGGGAAAAAAAACCCAAAAGGGGAAATTGACACATTTAATTTTTTTAAATATACTGTGAAAAAGGGAGATTTTAAAAAAAAATTGCAAAGGTTAGTGGATGTTTTTGGGGAGTGTGGGGTAAAGGGAAAAAGGGTTTGAAATTTGGAAATAAAAAAGTAAGGTGATGAGGGTATCAAGTGATTTAGATAAAAAAAATTGGAAAACAAATTGGGGGGGAGGAGAAATGGAAAAGTAAAATTTTTTTTAAATTATTGGGGGGATTTTGACGTGAAAATTGGAGGATTTATAATGGATGAGGTTAATCATAAAAAGGGAAGTGGAAAAAAAAAAGGTGAGTGGGCATTGATTGTATGGGAGAAAAAAAAAAAAACTTATCAAAGGGGGCCCAAAAAAGGGAAAAGTATAAAAAGTATAGTGGGAAACCAACCCACCCCTTAAAAATGGTTTTGAAGTTTGGTTTAAAAAAATTCTGCAGCGGGGAAAGGGGGTTGGGGGCCAAGGTGGAGAAAACCTTTTCTAAGGGCAAATGTTTTGGTGTGAAAATTATCAAAAAATTTCGGAGTGGGGAAAAATTAGGAGAAGGTTTTGTATTTTAATAAAATATTAGTCAGAGGGTGAAGAGGATTTTGGGAAAATTTTTGGGTCATTTAGGGGAGAAGGGTTTAATATTTATTTAAGGGAAATTTTCAAAAAAAGGGTTTAAATTTTTCTATACCCATTTGGGTTCCTGGAAAGGGAAGTATAATGCCGGGCACTTTAAAAAAAGGGTTTGGGTTTATGCCAGTTTGGGGGGAAAATTTAAATTGTTGGGAATTTTTTATACGTTTTATGCTTCAAATTGTTGTTTTTTGAGCATTTTCTGCAAAAACAGTGATTTTTTTGGGGAGATGAAAGTGTCGAATGATAAAGGGAAAGTTTTTTTCTTTTTGGGATTTTCTTTCTTTTTGGGGAAACCCCCTGCCTCGGTGGGAAAATTGGCCGACTTGTTAAAAAATTAATATATAAAATATATTTTTAAAATATATATATATATTTATATATAAATATATATAATAAATAAATATATAATATTTTAATAAATAGGTAGATAATTTTTTAGTGGGTTGGGTTTAGACGGGAAAACCGCCCAGGGAGGAAATACCGTCCTGCCAAGTGATTGTAAAACAAAAAGCCGTAATTTTTTACATTTTTGGTAGGATTCTGGTGCCCTTTTTTTCTGTCTCATGAACGGGCAAGATTTAAGGTACGTCTTGCTACTTTACTTAAAACCTTAGGTACCCTACACATACATGTACAAGCACAAATATACCACCCCTCGGGGTTTTTCCCTTCTTTTTTCTTTCTAGTTCTTATTTTTTTTTATTTCCTTTATCCCCCATGGGGAAGTGGAACGGGAATTTTTCCCTCCAAAACCCAAAGCTGTTGTAAGAGGGGACAAAAAAAAGCCGGGAGCAAGGGGCTAGAAACCTTTTTCTCCTTACATTTTATAAATGAAAAAGGGGAAACTTTCGTTTGCCCTTTTTGGGGCCAAACCCCCCCTTTGGGGGGGGATACAGCCGGTGTTTAAAAGAAAGAAAGATATATATATATTTTATATATTATATATATAATATATAAAAATATATTATATAAATATATATATATATATATAATATAAAAATATTTATACTTATTTTTTGGGTCGTGCCGAATAGGCAAACTTCGATTTTGGTTTAAAATAGCAACCTCATTTTGGGAAATAAAACCCAAGGAAAATTTGTGTATGAAATTTAATTTCGCCAAAATCATTCTAAAACCTTTAACAAAAAAAATTATTTTTAAAATTTGGTTTTTTGGTTTGGGAATTAAAATTACTGTAAAAAAAACTAAAATTATTTAGTTGGGTTAGGTTAAAATAAATTTTTCTTTTTTAAAAAAAATTTTTGGGTAAGTTTTCTAAGATTTTTTTGGTGCAAAATTAAAAATTTTTTACTTTAACATTAATGAAAAATATAATCTTTAAAACTTTATAAGAAAAAAAACTATAAAGGAAAATTTTTTAATAGTTTTTGCTT